ATAATAATTTTGTAGAGGTCTTTGGAAAATTAAACTTTGGATGCAAGAAATTTGCCTACAAATTTACTTGCAAAGGAAACACAATTATCTCTCTAGATTCTGTTTTCAACCTAAGCCCTTCTGCTTAAGCTGTCCTTTGATCTGAGTGAGGTATAAATTAATCATCTTACGACTGCGAATAGCAAGAGAGAGCCTTATATACATGGCAAGAGATGAGAAATTGTGGAGATTCTGAGCGAAAGCGAAAGATAGCAGAAGCAGAGACGAATTTCCGATTCTGAAATATTCGCATACTCATCACTACATCCTACTAACATTTTCCATACTCTTTTATTCTATGTATCTTTATTTTAGTCCAGTTACGCAGTACGTAATTTTACTAATACGCATATACGGTTAGATTTAGTCTTCTAATTCCATAATAACGCGTAATTCTTATTACTAAAACCCAAAACGAGGGTGAAGGAAGTGTATGTTAATAACCTCAAATGGCAACCAAACCCAGTGTATACCTAAACAGTTAACTAACCAATGATGTACAATGTGAGCGGTAAGTAAAAGGTTAAAACAAAATTCAATTTAATTAATTAATGTTTTTAACACAATGAATATCAAAAGTATTAGTCGCGCGGTTCGACATGCTCCAAGACTGGGATCACGAATTCGAATCTTGTCCGTGTTATTCTCGAATGCTAAGATAACTGCAAACACTGAACTGGAAAAGATTTCTCGCTAACAGGAAGTTGTGGGGTGGGGCGTTTGACAATGCAAGAACAATGAGGCACATCAGAAACAAATAAAAGAAACACAAGCCTCCAGCGGATGAAAACAACAAAGAATAATGAGTCTGTACGAGACATAAAACGCGGCATTTATTATTTTGCGGAAGTGCACACAGACGCCCCAAAACCCCTCCCCTCTTGAGTACGGTTGAAACAACCGCTGGGAATCTCTTAAAAGAATTCGGTTACCTGTACTTTAATTTCTTATACTATCCATTGGAAATTAAGAGCACATAAAATTTGGCAAACATTCCCTATCGCTAGATTCAGAATCTTCTGTTTTCCTAACTTCTAGCTTGTTGCGCAGTGTAGAAGTTTACCGACGTTTCAGAGGTGCTTTATGCCCTCATTATGGAGGAAGCAAGCACCTCTGAAACGTCGGTAAACTTCTACCAGGCTACACTGCGTAACAAGCCAGAAGACAGCCATTTCCAAATTCGTCCCAATAATAACCTCAAATCTTATATTTAATCTTTGTTCCAACTTTCACAAGCATATATAACAAAATTGTTATTGATTCTTACGAATAATATTTTATTTATTATTTATATAGTGTTCTGTCTGACGACAGGTCCATATGAACAGGATCCTTCCATCCTTTTCTCGGACTGGGACCTGTTCATATACGTTCTTGGCAGATGATCCAGAAGTGGTTTGCCATTGCCTTCTTCTGTGTGTGAATGGAGTAATTGTTGGGATGCCACGAAGAAACCGGGGAAGCCCCCGGAGGAAAACTCCGTGTTTCCTAGACCACGGCCTTGCCCAACACAAGTTATAAATTCGGGCACCGCCGGGAATCGAACCCGGGATTACAAGGCCAGCGTTCTAACCGCTAGACCACCGTGGCTACGAATAATATAAAACACTATTTTATAGCGTAGAATATCAGGACGTATTAATCCGTACAAAGATATGTGAATGTTCCATAGACAACCTAACCTGCTCTGCTGTTAAATTCAGTCACGTGTTGTCAGCCGCAGTATTGTCAAAGAACAGCGGACATGTTTTGTCGCCGATGCATTCAAATAGTACGGTATTTCGGAGTATAGTGGCTCACTGGTATTAAAGCCTGTATCACTAAAGGCACAGCGATATTGAAAAGGCTTGTCACCCACAATGCACTGCGCTAGTTAACGCTTGACTTCACAGATGTTGTTACCTTCACTATAGGCGAAGACGATAAAATTCCATCGGCGAGCCATGTTATATGAACTGTGCCAGCATACAAGATGTCCTGTCACAATCAGTCGCCCTCACACCAGACTTCAAAACGAGGCCATGTGATCCGAGTCACAGCGGCATACACACTCTTCAGATTCCATTACTTCTCTAGCAGAACCGCCAGTTTCTTCGCTAATACCTATGTCCGCCACCAAACACGATCCCAAGACCGCCGTGGATTCTTGTATTTTTCAGCATTATATTGATTATTTACTAACCTAAAGATGGAGGTGACACGTTTCTCCGAAACGTTGGTAACCACACGGCATAAAATTACATAAGATCAAAACCAACGTTGCAATGTCTCACGTACCGAGTCCTAAAAATCTTTCCCACCCTTGAACCGCGTATCGTCAGCTAAAACTTTGTATGCAGTCATTACTAGAGCAATCAAAATGTCAGGTGAGGTTTCGGCCTGATAAATTGGGACATTCAACTGTGACCATACAGAAATACAAATTACCATGTTTTAATAGGGATTTAAACAAGCTATTAAGCATTTCTTAAGCGCACGGCCGCAGAAATCTGTTATGATGTTCCTTGACAGCAAACGGAATCGGTAGACGATGTTATTGCTTAGGTCTACCTAATAGATTGGTACTGCATTACATGCAATTCATACATTGTTCTGCGTGTCTAAAATAGTGACACTAGCGGCAAGCCACTTTTGCTACCTGTGATTCGCAAAGAATTCTGAGTTGTTATTTAGATTTTAGAAACAGCGTGCAATTCGTGCATAGTTTGTAGCATTAGACTTGGCAATAACGGCATAGAAGGGAGGTAAAGACGTGAGAAACCACATCTGTCAAGCAGATTCAAGCCAACCAATTTCGCTTCAGAACAAACATGCAATAACGATGACGTCACTTACCGGTGCCGTTCACTGTGTCCTGTGGTCCTGTGATGTCCTCCATGTTCTCAGCCGCAAGAACGTTGTTCCCGTTGGCGTAAGTTTCAATCAGACCATACCTGCAGTAAACCACGTTTCGTAAAGTCAAACACAATAACCGTAGGGCTGACTAAACACTAAGTAACTCTCTGGTATTAGAACCTAAAGGTTCAGTACCGCTAATAACAACGCCAGTTCTACCACATACACGTCTGCGTACTCTGACTTTTAAAATTATTTCGCCATTTTTATCGTTTATTCCCGTAACCATGTTCCAACACGTTTATATGTCTGCATTTCTCATTTCCCCATTTGTACAGAAGTAACAGCAAATATTAACTGTCTGACGTGACTGCTCTAGTGTCCTACTATAGTACTTGTCAGTCCCTCGGAGGTCCTTCAGGTCACCAAGAGACTCAAGGTTGGCAAGGCTCCAGGCCCGAACGGTATTCCGAATAGGGTCCTCAGACATCTACCTAAGTGCGCGATAATCTTCCTCGCGAAAGTTTCCAAAGCCCTCCTCAGTAGGCAGTACTTCCCACCAGCATGGAAACACGCTCGCGTGGTATCCATAGCAAAACCGGGAAAAGACCACACGTTGCCCTACTCCTCCAGATCCATCAGTCTTCTAGTCAATGTTTGCAAGGTCCTCGGGATCCCACTCACATACCTACACCCTCCCACCATGTCAAGCTATTGCACTACGCGGATGACACGGTTCTCGCAGACACGACCCGTAGTCCATTGCTTCTCGTCGGCTATCTGGAGGCCCAGAGCACCGTGGGGCTCTTAATTAAGGCCGCGTGCGCATCCAAAAGCCCACAGAAGTGCACTTTCTCGGACAGCCGATGCAATGGGTAGAAACAGCGCGGTATCTTACGGTGACCCTTGACTCCAGCACAAGTTAGCCAGGTGTGAAAAAAGGCAGTTGAACGAACTGGAGTGCTTATCCCCCCCACTTAACAGGAGCAGTGGCCTATCCGTCAGAAACGGTGTACTGATCTAGAAGCAGCTCGTCCATTCTATGATGGATCACGCATGCCCGATCTGGAGGTCAGCTGGTTGCAGCCACGTCCAGAAGATGGTAGTGTTACAATCCGAGTGTCTTCGAATTGCAACTTGAGCGCCTTGGTACGTTGGGAACAGGCAAATTCACGATGATTTGGGGATTCCATACTTCTCTGACTACGTCAGAGCACCGACTGAGAGTTTCGACTCAAAGTTAGCTGATGCGGACAATCCCTTAGTTCTGCATCTTATGTCGACCACGGGCTGACTGCGGTTACCCACCGGCAACAGGGGGGTACTTGATGTTCAGCCGAGGGTGTCCCTGCAACGAGTGGTCTGACCATTCGCCTATTCTGACTGAGGTATTCCGTGCCTTTCTTCAGTTGCAAGGCATGTCAAGGTACAATTCTAAAGGGGCACTGCCCGCCCTCACCAATCATGGAGGCTTTCAGCCGAAATGAATCCCCCCCAAAGTCACAGAGGCCATTTGCCAAAGCGATCCCCCCACTTCTGGGTTCAAATCCCAGAAAGGCGTCGAACCGAAATCCTTCTCACAAAGGACAAATTCCCTTATGAAATAATCTCCCATGAGTAGCAATAACTCCTAGTTTTAGTTGTCGAGGATTTTGTCAAGACAAAATTCTCGTTAGCGTACGCACACCTCCGTTTTAGTTTAAATTCACCGTTTACCATTTCCAGCAATGTGCCTCATACGGAGGAATGGTGTAACCTAACAAGTGATGATGTCTTACGTAGGACTCCACGTTTAGTTTGCTTTTTGGTTGGTACAATACTTGAAATGTAGTAATTATTTTAAAATCCTTGTTATATAATGTTATCCTTTACCTATTTATGTAATATGTCTCCAATTTATAGGCTTTCCTTCGCAGGTTTCTTAAAATCAAACACAGTCCTAAACGTGTGGGAGTTAGAATTCTGGTTTCACTCCCAATTAGCAAAACAGTACCTTACGTGAATCTGGTCGTATGGAAAATGGCGACTTAGGTGCAGTGACCCGTGCATATTCATCATTCTTTTTACATATACCCTGACTTAAAGAAGAATGTCTCCAAGACATGGGTATAAGAAGCGAAACACTAATAACACTAAATATACGAACGTGTGTGAAAACGGAGAACATCTGGTTCTATACAATGAGAAAATAGAAGTATGTAAAAATTTATGTGTTAGGGAGTAATATTTTCGGGCACTTCTGTTATTACTAGGGATATTACAGGCGAAATTAATTAGGAAAATATATTACAGAAACTAACTTTATATTATGGACCAACAGACTACTAAAAGACAAATGCTAGTGTAAGACCAGATAAAAAAAATTGCACGTACATTGGAAATTAACGGAAGAAATGAAGAGAGACTTGACTCATTAGAAGTTGACTTTGGAGAGCAACGTGTGGGGTGTCAAGGGCTCAGAGTCAGGAACGATGGGCTAAGGAGTAGAACGGAAATGGAAGGATCGAGGAAAGAAACTACAGAGTATAAGACGCTTACATGGTTCCGACACTTGCAGAAGACGGACGAAAGTAGATGGCAAACGAAGCTTATAATTGGTTGGAGGTAGGGAGAGGGGAAGGTCAAAGAGAAGATGGAAGAACGATGTCAATAAAGCCACGGAACTTTGCGGACTTCAACAAGGGGATTGGCACGAATGAATAGCATGTAAGCATGGTCTGACCGCAATACGAAGACCCCTCAATCAACGCTTAGTGCTACTACCTAGTGTTTGGTAGGCGAACTGACTGCTGCTTGATACACATGGTGTCTTAGGTCGCTATACTCTTACGTCCGAGCTGAGACTTGATACGTTAAACGCAGGTAACACCCTTAATCCATAATAGTTTCTTTTTTACTTTTACAGAATAATATATATTTTAAGTTACATAATACATATCTATGAGTATTCTAATCTTTAAGATGGGCCTATATTCCAATGGTTATGAATCACCCAAAATCAAGCTCTATATTATTATTTGTCCATGCGGATTCATACATGGAAAATTATGTGCATGTAAATAGAAAAAAATTTACACTTTTCCAAACCCCTGAGATGGATTCAGAAGAAATAAATATTTACCAAATATAACATGCACATACTTATTTATTCTTATACATCGCCCTGAGATGGATTCAGAAGAAATAAATAGTTACCATATATAACATGCACATACTTATTTATTCCTATGCATCGAAGATAATTTCGCACTGCTAATCCCAGCTACTTATTAATACATAGCCTATATGGTTCATTTTTAAAATCAGGATCTCTCGGAATAAACGAAAAGCAAATTAAGAGTAGGGCATGTAAACGTGATATTCGGTGTTATATAACGGTGGTCCATAAAATAGAGCTTAATTTATGCCAGGTCGAAAATTCTATGCAGTCACACTTCCGTCGACTGTCCATACAGCTATATATATATGCACAGTCTATTACATATCTACATAAGCACAGCTGGAAATATTAGCCTGCCATTTCACTGTTTTCGATACTTCATATTAAATATTACAAGACCTAAGCCCTTGCACAAAAATGTTTCCAGGTAAGTCGACTGTTACTTTCAGATGTTACAGTACGGAAATCTAACTACTTAATTTAATCCAGTGCATTGTTTTTATGGTGTATGTATTAAGTCTGTCAGCAATAGACTTCTATATATCTGAACAATTAAGGCTAATGCAGAATAAAAGATCCCAAAAAACGTACTTCGAATCTGTGTAGTAAACTGAAAACCATCTTGCACTCCGGTTGACGTAAAATTTCTTGACGCATTTTAGGCTAAAGCGGATTGCGTTTATGTTTGTAAAAGTTTAGCTCTGTTAAGTTTTATACACAGTGAACAACGCAGAATATCAATTGCATTCCACATCACTGAAACGCCTGCCACTGACGCAAACTAAATCTGTATTTCTTTGTCGTTTATTCAACGAAGCTGTTAAGTACCTCAGTCGACGTAACATTGTATGGCGGGATGACCGATGAATAATAAATTGGAAAGCGTATGGAAGAAAACGGTCATGCCCTTATGAAACGCACTATCCTGACATTTGCTTGGAAGTGCTGAGGAAACCCAAGACAATTCTCAGTTAGAGTAACTTATCTCTGGGCCGAGATTTGAACCCGTGACCTCCTGAAGAACAAGTACGTACATCAAATCACTCTCTCGCTCCCGAATGCATTTACTAACGACACTGAAGTTTTCGAATCTGGGTGTGCTATCAGCTCATACACAGTCACACAACAAACACAAACACACGTGAACTCGTAATTAACACTTTGCCCCTAACAGTGCGGTGGTACGTCTAGTTTAGCTGCTGAACAGTCACGGGGCATGGAGGGCAAAATGTGCCTATGCACAGGGTGGAATTGGGCAGACAAAGGAAGAGTTCCTATACACAAACATCGATTTCCAAGGCAGTCACAACCATTCTACAAGCTACTAAGTTCTAATCTAGGCCTATTTGCGTGATCTGAACGCAGAAAACCAATAACAATATTGTTCAGGTATCCGAAGGTGGAGTCCTTAGCTAGTCGTGATTATAATTTCTAAAGACTTTTTAACATTTTCCTGCCGTGTTTCGATTGATTGATTCAAAGACACTCGTTTGAAATGCAGTTTCAAAATCAACCAGCCATCCATAAGTATAATTGCCTGAAAATTTTTTGAGGTGTTATTAGCGTTTTGTAGGAATCACACAGTTCATTTACAGAAAGGTATATTTTGTAAGATCATCAAAGCAAGACTGAAATGATCTTCACTTAAATATTTCTATAACAATGTATTCTTCTTGGCTAGTAAATGAAATGTGAATGAGAACTAACCCTGCGGCTTCAGTTTACATTTTCTAGCAAATTATAACAAAAGAATTACACATGTGCCTCGATTTACGAACTTAAAGATTACGAATTTTTGCTACAACAAAGAACTAACCACCGTTTGAGGCCCGAAGGACCGTTTAGAAATTTAAGAAGGCGGAGGAATACAACAAGTTCTGATGTTTATGTATACCGTAATTTCAGTAACAGTTGCAGGTCTAAAAATGTAAAGGTTTT